GAGGAAACAGGTCCCAAGAAAGTGGATTAATCTCATAAGAGCAGGCAAAAAAAAACTTGTGAACTGCAAAAAATAAACAAACAAGAAAAAATATAAACAATATATATGTATATCTCAGCCCTACGCATTTCATCTATCACAGATTTCTTAAGGGGCATCCAAGAGTCTAAATAAGAGTTCATGCCATGTCTATCTTTAAAAGTCCATTAGCTACTTCCATGGACTGCCATCAGTCAATCTGGTATGGTGCTTCGTTGTGTTCCACCTGCTCCTGATTACTTCACTATCTGCCTCAGTGCCCTCCAAGCCTCACATATTCATTACACATTTCTGATTCTGCCAGTGATGCATTTGCATTCCACATTCATTCCAGATGGTGTAATTTATTATGTGTTTATGTGTCATTCTGTGGGTATATAAAACTGCAACGCACTGTGTATTTTGACACCTTTCTATCATGGCCCTAAACAACAGGACATGTTCAGAGGTTTCGTGGAGTCCATGCCTCGATGCATCAGAGCTGTTTTGGCAGCACAAGGAGGACCTACACAATATTAGGAAGGTGGTATTAAAGTTGTGGCTGATCAGTGTATGAGATATTGTGTCCCATATTGTGTCCACTGTCCAAATTCTTTACGGACAATTTAAAGTTGCATTAATATCAGGACTTTAATTCATCCAGTCCAAAAAAAAAAAAAAAACAATTTCTTCATATATTCAGTTGAAAATTTACTGGTTTTAAGAACATTATTGTGATGTGTGAACCACATTATGAACAGCTTTAGCACACAGATGGACAATTTGGCATTTTACTGTAGATTTTTTTTACTTTTTTTTTGTAAAATCTAGGATTGATTGTTCAGTCGGTAACAGTAAGCCATGTATGTCTGGAGGCTGACAGTTGGTGTCCAAAACTCCTATTTTTCCATTGTTCTTCAAACTTGGATGAAATTCATTTGTTGAAATGCAGAGATGTCTTTTTGTGAAACATAACATTTGTCTTTTATGCTGAAAATTTACAGCAATGGTTTCCTTCATTGTGTCCTCCAAAGTCATCCCTTGTTCAATGTTTATTATAATCATTTTGATAATAATTGACATTTTTCAGTGCTAGAGGGTTTTCAGATCCTCTGTTTTTTTTATTACACTTTGGTTCTCTGTGACCTCCTGGAGCACTGTGTTTGTACTGTTGAACACTTTTTAGTTAGACAACCACTCCTGAGCAGGTTACCAACTGTTTGCATTTTTAAGTATGGTTAATTTCTATTAAATAGGAGTTAAACAGCCCAAGATCCACAATGTGATCCACACTAAAAGGTTGTAAGTCCCAGTGTGTTTTTTGTAAAAGTTAAGTTAACAACACATTCCTTTGACACTTGTCCTAGATATCTTTGTTACATTGATGGCTTACTGTTTCTTAGTTTGCTGTTTAATTATGGCCAAGGCTGGAGATGAATCGAAAGACTTTGTCCCTGTGAAGTATGCAATACCTCACGTCTGATCTGGACAGTAACAACAGGGGTTCCGAGCTTGCATCTTTTGATTATTTCATGGTTGTTTTGACTTAAGGACCCCCTACTCTGTATCTCAGCCTGAGGATATAACTCAAGAAAAGATCAAAGTATGTTATTGACAGTTCCTCTGACATCCTTTCCAAGATAGCATATACAGACAGCATTGTTCTGTTAACGCATCTTAATCATAACTGCTGGTCTCCAGATCATTTTACATTTTAGAAGCTCCCTAAACCCAAAATGGTCTTCCGTGTATGTTCCAAAGATTTCATTGATTACAATAATTATTCTCTGTCTTATGGATGTCAATGACAGAGTCTTCTCTTCCCCTCGAAGCATATCAAATTATTCTCTATATATACAATAAATGTGGCAAATTACTGCGAACCATCTGTTTGCATTTTATTCTTCTTCAATAAAAGAGATCCTGCAGTTAATAACTACCCATTATTTGCTTCCTGCTTTAAATATGCCAGTGATTAGAGCATTGGTTGCAGGCATCATGGTGCACAACAGCCATTCTAAATCATCATGTAAGAAACTAAACATGAAGAATAATACATATTTACAATCATTTCCTTATTAAAATGAATATCCTGTTTTTGTTTTTGCCATAAGCTAATATTGATGCCAAATATTTGTTGTTCTTCAAATGAAGTTTCCCATACAATGATTAGCAGGGCTCAGGTGCTCTTTGTCTATGACAAGGTGTCTAATCATACATAAAACATATACGAAAACTTTATGTGGCAACCTATAAAATGGCAACATATAATAATCATTGGGGATTATTTATCAAAGTGTTCAGTTCTAAAAAGTGGTGCAAAAATGTAAAAGGGGAGGATTCAAAAATGGAGTGTGCCTTCTGGTTCGCCCCACTTTTTAGAATTTAAATAACTTTTTAGAACAGAGCACTATCATGAATAACCCCCATTGTCTTTTAATTTAACTTTACCTCTTGCAAAACATGGTTTATTCTGTTTGACCTTATTTTGTATGACAAGGGCAACAATACTAACCTCCAGACTCCTACAAATGATTGGCTTTGTTCCATGCTGTTAAAGGAACACTATAGGGTCAGGAACACAAACATATTTCTGCCCCCTAAATATAGTAAATTCTTACTCTTGTTCAAGTCTGCAGCTGCTGGCTGACATTATCAGAAGTGTTCTTCTGAGCCAATCACAAATTACAATGCTTTCCCATAGGATTGGCTGAGACTGTCAAGGAGGCAAATCAGGGGCAAAGCCAGCACCAGTCAAACACAGCCCTGGCCAATCAGCATCTCCTCATTGAGATACGGTGAATCAATGCATCTCTATGAGGAGAGTTCAATGTCACCATGCAGAGGGTGGATACACTAAATGCACAGTATGCAGCACTTCCCCAGGAAGTACATTTAGTAGCCATCTGAGGCGTGACCACTGGAGTTATCCCTAAGTGGTAATGTAAACACTGCATTTTCTCTGAAAAGACAGTGTTTACTGCAAAACGTCTGAAGGGAGTGATTCTACTCACCAGAACAAATACAATAAGCTGTAGTTGTTCTGGTGACAATAGTGTCCCTTTAATTCATTTTTTTAAATACATATATAAAGTGGAAAGTGGAAAATTGAATTTTATGAACTCCAATGATAAGATTGACATGAATCAAGTTTTTGTTTTTTTTGTCTGTTTTTTTACAAAACCAAAATTATGAAGAAATACACAAAAAAGTTAATAAAAAAATATATGTATGTTAAGAAAATAATAAATACATGCCTTCTTTCATAGATTTAGTTAAATAGAACAATTACAGTGATGTGTCAATAAGAACTGTTTGGATTTTTAGAAATTTTCTAGAAATTTAGAAGAAAAAATACCTTTAAAAATCAGTAAATGTTGGCTTATGGGTATAAGGGATATAGTGAGTGTGTGTGATGTAGTGTATGTTTTTAGGAAATGTAGTGCATGTGTATTTGTGTAGGGGATGTAGAATGTGTTTGTAGGGAACATAATTTGTGTTTAGGGATTTTGTGTATGTATAGGGGATGTACTGTATGTGTGTATCGATTTGTTGTGTGGAAGGGTGAGAGTGGAGCAGTTTTTTATTTATTTATTCTTAACATTTAAATTAACTTTTTTGTTTTACTTCAGTTTAAGTAGCACGGAGAAAAGACATGACACGGGTTGTCAAATAGTGAGGGACTCTAGCCTGCACCTCCGTCAGGTATATATTTACATTGAACCCACTTAAATTGTACCATGCTTTGTGGAAGCATATATATTGCCATTATCAAAAATCACTTTTAGAGACCTCAGCCAGGGTGAGATTAGGGGTTTATGACGTAAGAACCTTAACCCTAAATCCACTTAATCCTACTGCCTAGGACCCAATGCTGTATATCCACGTCTGTAATGAAATTTGCCATTATCAATCTTATTCTGCAGCTCAATTTCCAATGCAGCAACATTTTCTTTGCTCAAGAGGTTGTTATATCATATTATGTAGATATTTTTAAAAAGGTCTAGATGTCGTTTTTTTTTTTTTACAAAATACAATATCCAGGTATATAATTAATATATGTAGGAATATCTTGTTGGTGCAAGGAGAAATTTGGTTGCAATTATATGAGTCAAGAAGATTTGTTTCCATTTTTGTGGCATAATTAAAAAGGTTTTTTTTTTCCCCTATATTACTATGTAACCAATCTACTATATATTTTCATTAGATTTTTTTTTTATATTGAATAATACTAATCTACTGTTTGGTATACATATATTTTTTTTGGTCTACATGTGTCTATATCTGTCATGCTCCTGTGATCTTTTACTGCCCTGTTAATAGGATGTTGTTTGGTGTTTTTTTATCTGTGTATAGCAGTTTTACCATTCATATTTTCAAATTCAATGTGGTCTACTAGTGACTGCTGTATGTGTGAGGTGTTCTCCTGTGTGGTGTGTCTCCACCTTGTCTTGGTTGTGTGTTTGTTCGTGTTTTGTGTTGGCTAGTGTCCATCTGGGGGGGTCGACCCTGTGGTGTGTGTTGGTTAACCTTAGGTTGGACTTCTCACTAGAGGTGTAGTGTGGGGTCTTCTATCCACATGGGTTCGCTTTTATTTCTTTAGCCTCCCCCCTTTACTGTCAACATCAGGAGTCCTTGTGTCTGCCGGCGCATTTATCTGATGCGGTCTTTGCTGGGTGTCTTATCTTTTGTCCGGTGGAGTCTTTGGTGTCGTATTTGTGTGACTGGCCCTGTGGTTTGAGGCGTAAATGTGTTTATGTGGTTTATGTTTATGTGTGTACTGTATGAGTTATGAGGTGGATCTCTATGTGAGAGTGTGTTAGTTATGTTTTGAGCTTGTGTGAGTCTGTGTTGGTGCATGTTGTAATTTTCTTCCATTTCTTTTTTTCGGTGCTTTTTGGCCTTGCTATACTCTCTTTTCGGGGGTTGTGAGTGTGTCTGTTTACCCTTCTTTTAATAGCTTACTCACTTACTCCCGCCCCCTAGGTCTTTGCTCTTTCAACTTGCCCATTGTCTGGGCCCTGCATAGTCTCATCCCCTGTGTGTGTCTGCTCCCATCTGGGCCTCTTCGAGTTGATGGTGATGGGAATCAGCGGGCTTGGTGTAGGGGAAATGTGAGGCACTTTCCTCAGTCTGGTCAAAGATTTGAGTGTTTGGGTGATGGGGAAGTCTTCCCCCAGATTTTTTGAGGCCTCATCCTCTTTGTGCCAGAGGAATTGGTGGAGTTGGTTTTCTGCTAGGTCTTTGCACAGTGTGATCCATCTTTTGTGAGGAGTGGCTGTGTGCAGTTCCCTGATGCACTGTACAATCGTTGCGTGATAGTATTTGTTCAGGTCCGGTAGTGCGAGTCCCCCACACGTTTTGGGGAGGCACAGTTTTTCGTGACCAATCCTGGCTCTGTCTCCCTTCCATATGTATTTAAGGATCGCTGTCCAGAGCATTTCAAAGAATATTTGTGGAATTGTGTGGAACATGTAGAGTATTCTGGGAAGGATATTCATCTTCACGACTGCTATTCGTCCCTGCCACGAGATGTGGTTGTAGTTCCATCTCTTGAGGTCCTCTAAGATGTTGGACAGGAGGGGTGCGTAGTTATGTGCGTAGAGGTCCTTCGCTTCGGGAGTGACCTGTAGTCCCAGTTATTTCATGCGATCTGTGCACAAGTTGAATGGGAATTGTTGATTCAGTTGTGTACATTCCTCCTCTGGTACCGTCACATTTAGTATCTCGCACTTGGGTATGTTTAGTTTAAGCCCCGATAAGTTTCAGTATGTCTGGAACTCTATCATTAGCTGGGGGATCGACTCCAGGGGATCATCCAAGAAGAACAGCATATCATCTGCATAGGCGGCTACTTTGTGCTCCTGTGTTTTGTGCTTGAGGCCCATTATCTATGGGTTCCTCCGTATTTTGTCTAGGAACGGTTCCAGGGTGAGTGCAAACAGGAGAGGCGAGAGTGGGCAGCCTTGCCTGGTTCCATTCTTGATGTTAAACTTGTCGGTTAGTGCCCCATTCACTCGGACTTTAATATTTGGTTGATGATAGAGCGTTTCGATCCACTTCAGCATTCTCTCTCCGATGCCGGTTCTCCGTAGCATCTCTATCATAAATCGCCAATTCACTCTATCAAATGCTTTTTCTGTGTCTGTGGATAGCAGAAGTAGTTTTTTCCTTAGATGTTTTGCTCTGTGTTGGATCACAAAGAGCCTGAGGGTGCTGTCTCTGGCCTCTCTGCCCGGGATGAAACCTGTCTGGTCCGGGTGGACCAGTCTTGGCATATATGTCTGTAATCGGGATGATAGTACCTTTGAGAAAAGTTTTACGTCTGTATTGATGAGGGATATCGGGCGGTAGTTCCCTACCTGTTCCGTGATTACGGGATCACCGTAATCGTCGCCGCCATTTCTTGTAGTATTCTACCGGAAAAAACGTCTGGGCTGGGTGCTTTTCCATTCTTTGCTGTCTTCAAAGCTAGTTTGACCTCCTCTTCAGTTACTGGTACGTCTAGCGTTTCTGCTTCTTCCAGGGTGAGGGCGTCGGGGTTGAAATTCTGCAGGTATCTCGCTGTTTCCGTTTGTTTCTGTGCGGTGCCGGTGTCTCCATTTATATCAGTGGTGTTGTATAATTTTGTGTAAAAGGACCTGAATTCGTCCGCGATTTCTTCCGGGAATTGCATCAGTCTGCCTTGTCTGGTTCGCTGGGTGTGTACCTGGGCTTTGTTCTGCGGGCCTCTTAGCATTTGGGCGAGTAGCTTCCCTCCTTTATTAGCATGCACGTAGAAGAAAGCATTTGAGCGTTGTACCTGTCTAGCGTGCTTGCGTCCTATTATCTCCGTGAGCTGTCTTCTTTTCGTGATTAGGTCCCTGTATGTCTGGTCTTGTTGAGTCCTTTTATGCCTCTGTTCCAGGTCTGCTCTCTGTTGGGTGAGGTCTCTTAGCTGTTCTCCAGCTTCCTTTTTCTTCTGCCATTCGTATTAGGTGCCCCCTCAGGACGCTTTTGTGCGCTTCCCAGATAGTCATGTCTGACAGGTCATCGGTGGTATCCTCCTCAAAATACTGACGGATATGATCAGCAATTTGCGCTCTCGTCGGTTCATCTAGAAGAAGGGAATCATTGAGTCTCCAAGCCGTCCTGGTCGGGCGGTACAAGGGTGACTCCATTTCCACTTTCACCGCATTGTGGTCTGACCAGGGTGTGGGTTGAATGTCAGCCTTCCTGAGATAGGTGAGCCCCTCCTGCTGTATGTATATGTAGTAAATTCTGGAGTATCGGCAGTGTAGGGGGGAGTAGTAGATAAATTCCCGTTCTACAGGGTGGAGCGAACGCAATGTGTCTATTAGCCTGAGGTTTCTGAGGGATTTTTGAATGTTTTTTATAGTCGAGCTTGGTATACTACTTCGTCCCATAGATGTATCTAGTGGGACATTTAGGTCTCCCCCCAATATCAGGACTCCCTCTGAGAATTTGACCAGCTTCATCAGTGTTCTGAGAGTAAAGCTGGCTTGTCCCGAGTTCGGGGTGTAGATGTTTGCTATTGTATAGGTTTTCCCGGCTATATCCCCTTTTACAAAGAGGATATACATCGACGTCCACTAGTTGATCTGTAGCCGCAAAGTGGAGGCTGGCAGCGAGCAGAATAGCTGTTCCTGTTTTCTTCATCATGGGATGATTGCTATAGAAGTTCAGTGGGTAGTGTCGATTTTTAAGAAGTGAGGTTGCTTCTGCCCTCAGGTGGGTTTCCTGTAGGAGAGCAATTGAGATATGTTGTCTCTTGAGGTCTCTCAACAGGTGAGTCTTCTTTTCTGGGGCATTAAGTCCCCTGCAGTTTTGTGTTATTATGGTCAGAGGTGCCGGGGAGTAAGCCATTTCAGACGGTTTGCTCGCCTCGGGAAAGTGCTAAGTCTTTTTCTCCCCCTTGTGGGCTGGGGGCCCGAGCGCGCTGGACCACTAGCAGCGCGGGTGGGCGAGTACGGGCGGGGGGGACCAACAGGCGTCTGTCACGATTCGGGGAACCCAACACGCTGGCACACACACACACACAGAAAAGGGGCCGTATCGGACCTTAGAGTGGCCGGGCTAAGCACACACAGAATAGTCAGGAAACAAGCCGAGTAAGGGGAACCAGAAGACAGAATAACGTGAAACAAGCCGAGGTCAAAGGCTAGGAGAAAGTCACAGAGTCAGATAAACAAGCCAGAGAGTACGTAACCAGAAGCACAAGGTAAATAGCAATACTAGCAAGCAAAGACCACAACAGGGCAGGGAGGAACAGGAAAGGTAAGTATTTAAACCATAAGGTTAATTCTGATTGGATAATTTCCAATCAGAATTAACAATCACACGTGGGAGATATCTAGACCTCCCACTGTGATTGAGACACTGTTCCTTTAACGCCGGGTCAGGTGACTGACCCCGGCGTGTACTAACTTGGGCAGTCTCCCAGCGTGCAGCGTCATGTATGCTGCCGCTGGGGGACGTGGAGGAAACGGCGGGCGGCATCCGAGGCTGGAAGGATGCCGCCCGCCGAGCCCACGAGGAGGAGGGGACCGCGGAAGGCTGGAGGGTGAGTACCGCGAGCGGAGTGCAGCCTCCCCTCACAGCCGCCCGCGGGATCCCGACATTACCCCCCCTCGAAGACCGCCCGGAGGGCGGGAAGCAGATGGCTTCAAAGGAAACCGGGCATGAAAGGAGCGAACCAAAGAGGGAGTGTGCACATCAGAGCTCGAAACCCAAGACCGCTCCTCAGGGCCGTACCCCTTCCAATCCACCAAATATTGCAGCCGACCCCTAGAAACACGAGAGTCGAGAAGGGCAGCCACCTCGTACACGTCGCCAGAGACAGCACGAGGGGAAACGGGCCGCCCGAGGGGACGAGAGAACCGGTTACACAGCAAGGGCTTCAAAAGCGAGACGTGAAACGTGTTCGGGACACGCATGGAAGGAGGCAGGTCAAGGGAGTAGGAAACGGGGTTAACCCTACGTAACACCCTGTAGGGACCAAGAAACCTGGGGGTAAATTTCATCGAGGGAACCTTGAGATGGAGGTTCCTGGAGGACAACCATACCCTATTACCCGGAACATAAGAAGGGGCGCAACCCTACGGCGATCAGCAAACTTTTTCTGAGCAGCTGCTGAACGAGACAGCGCAACATGGACCTGATCCCACGTCTTCCGCAAAGAGGCGAGGTGCTGGTCCAAGGCGGGCATTCCCTTGTCGGAGAACGCACCGGGAATTACAGAAGGTCGAAACCCATAAGCAACCTCAAAAGAACTTAAGCCAGTAGACGAATGAGACACCGTATTCCTGGCAAATTCAGCCCACGGAAGAAGGCGAGACCAGTCATCCTGGTGCGCATTAGTGAAGCAGCGTAAATACAATTCCACAGACTGATTAGCACGTTCGGCCGCACCATTAGATTGCGGGTGATAGGAGCAAGAGAACGACAAGGAGACCCCCATCTCAGCACAAAAGCCCCTCCAAAACCGAGAGACAAATTGAGGACCCCTGTCAGATATGATATCCTGAGGTACCCCATGCAAGCGGAACACTTCTTTGGCAAACACTTGAGCTAACTGAACTGCAGAAGGCAGTTTCTTAAGTGAAATAAAGTGCGCCATTTCAGAGAACCTATCCGTCACAGTCAGTATCACCGTCTGACCATCAGAAAGAGGCAGGTCTACAATGAAATCCATGGATAAGTGGGTCCATGGTTTCTTGGGTATAGATAGAGGCATCAGAAAACCCTGGGGTCTCACATTAAGGGACTTACACTGCGTGCAGACCCGACAAGCCTGAACAAAATCCACTACGTCTCGCTTGAGTGAAGGCCACCAGAACTGTTGAAGGAGGCCCTTGTAGGTTTTGGTAACCCCCGGATGACCATCAGTTTTGGCGGTGTGAAATAAAGTTAACAACTTTTTTCTGTCATTTGCTTCAACGTATAGTTTACCAACCGGCGTCTCAGGGGGTGCCTGGGTTTGGTATGTCTTAATACTATCAAGGAAAGGTGAAGAAACAACCAAACGGGTAGCAGCTATTATCTGAGACGCAGGTACCATAGGTTCAGGAGTCGGGTTAACAAATTCTACTGGTTCATGCTGTCGAGAGATAGCATCAGCTTTGGTATTACGGCAACCAGGTCTATAGGTAATAACATATTGGAAGCGTGAGAGAAATACAGGCAGTGCAGAAATATTAGGCAAATGAGTATTTTGACCACATCATCCTCTTTATGCATGTTGTCTTACTCCAAGCTGTATAAGCTCGAAAGCCTACTACCAATTAAGCATATTAGGGTGATGTGCATCTCTGTGTAATGGTGAAGGGGTGTGGCTTAACACATCAACACCTAGCATCAGTGTATAATTATTAGGCAAATCCCCTTTCCTTTGGCAAAATGGGTCAAAAGAAGGACTTGACAGGCTCAGAAAAGTCAAAAATAGTGAGATATCTTGCAGAGGATGCAGCACTCTTAAAATTGCAAAGCTTCTAAAGCGTGATCATCGAACAATCAAGCGTTTCATTCAAAATAGTCAACAGGGTCGCAAGAAGCGTGTGGAAAAACCAAGGCGCAAAATAACTGCCCATGAACTGAGAAAAGTCAAGCGTGCAGCTGCCACGATGCCACTTGCCACCAGTTTGCCCATATTTCAGAGCTGCAACATCACTGGAGTGTCCAAAAGCACGAGGTGTGCAATACTCAGAGACATGGCCAAGGTAAGAAAGGCTGAAAGACGACCACCACTGAACAAGACACACAAGCTGAAACGTCAAGACTGGGCCAAGAAATATCTCAAGACTGATTTTTCTAAGATTTTATGGACTGATGAAATGAGAGTGAGTCTTGATGGGCCTGTGGCTGGATTGGTAAAGGGCAGAGAGCTCCAGTCCGACTCAGACGCCAGCAAGGTGGAGGTGGAGTACTGGTTTGGGCTGGTATCATCAAAGATGAGCTTGTGGGGCCTTTTCGGGTTGAGGATGGAGTCAAGCTCAACTCCCAGTCCTACTGCCAGTTCCTGGAAGACACCTTCTTCAAGCAGTGGTACAGGAAGAAGTCTGCATCCTTCAAGAAACATGATTTTCATGCAGGACAATGCTCCATCACACGCGTCCAAGTACTCCACAGCGTGGCTGGCAAGAAAGGGTATAAAAGAAGAAAATCTAATGACATGGCCTCCTTGTTCACCTGATCTGAACCCCATTGAGAACCTGTGGTCCATCATCAAATGTGAGATTTACAAGGAGGGAAAACAGTACACCTCTCTGAACAGTGTCTGGGAGGCTGTGGTTGCTGCTGCACGCAATGTTGATGGTGAACAGATCAAAACACTGACAGAATCCATGGATGGCAGGCTTTTGAGTGTCCTTGCAAAGAAAGGTGGCTATATTGGTCACTGATTTGTTTTTGTTTTGTTTTTGAATGTCAGAAATGTATATTTGTGAATGTTGAGATGTTATATTGGTTTTACTGGTAATAATAAATAATTGAAATGGGTATATATTTGTTTTTTGTTAAGTTGCCTAATAATTATGCACAGTAATAGTCACCTGCACACACAGATATCCCCCTAACATAGCTAAAACTAAAAACAAACTAAAAACTACTTCCAAAAATATTCAGCTTTGATATTAATGAGTTTTTGGGGTTCATTGAGAACATGGTTGTTGTTCAATAATAAAATTAATCCTCAAAAATACAACTTGCCTAATAATTCTGCACTCCCTGTAGAGACCATCTAGCCTGCCGGGCAGATAACCTTCTAGCATCAGCTATATAGGAGAGGTTCTTATGATCTGTTATAACCATAATTTTGTGTCTAGAACCCTCTAATAAGTACCTCCATTCCTTAAAAGCTAACACAATAGCTAATAGCTCCCTGTTCCCAATATCGTAATTCTTCTCTGAATCAGACAACCTTTTAGAAAAATAACAACAGGGATGGAGGGGTTTGTCATACGA